TAAAAAGGCTAAGCTTTAAGGATATTGAATTATAGCCTTAAATAAATTTTTTCAAGCTTCTTTTCTGTTGACTTTTCATGCGTATATCCCTTGTGCCTCTTTTCCCTCCATTTCATTTTATTCTAATATTTTAGTGCCACTGAGATCTTGAAAGTGGTTTGTTTGGAATGATAAAACAAACTCAACATTTTGTTCTGTCACATTTTCCTTGTAACGATTCCCAGGAAAGAGCTGTGTGAACTCTGAGTTACAAAGTTGACAAAGAAATCATGTGAGATGAAGCTAGAGGGGGAAACATGACTGAAGAGACAATTATTCTTCATTAGTAAATAAATCCTGGTTTCTCAGCAAAAGCAGGAAGACAGCTTTGAAAAATATTAAGTGCAATATACTCAATAAGTGGTGAAAACTGCCATGATATTTCTTCAAATTTTATAAGATTTCCAAGAAAAACCCAACTCAAAAGGCCCTCTAATCTGCACTGTATTCTTTCCTGCCTTCTTCCCCTGAGAACCACTTTGTCCATCATCTCTTGCATTTAGCAGCATTGTAGGGGACTTGCCAGCACAGCTGTCATTTCAGTGACCTGTGCCATCTCCAGCAGAACATTTTGCGTGCAGATCTCAGTGTTCCCAGCAATCCAAACGCTTATGCTCTCAGCTGGCCAAAGCATGTTTTTGTAGGTATGATTGTAGCTACAACTCTCAAATAGCCACAAGTGCTGTTACGTAGCTCTTACTTTCACTGACTACCCAAACCTCCTTTTCTCCCCTTGCTATAATAGCAATACACCAGGGATCTATATTAAAATGTCCTAAAGGGCAAGTGTTTCAACAGAAAGCCAATGGGCTTTGCAAGTATCAAGTAGAAGTTGATGTGAAGCAGGACCGCTGCTGAATCAGAATTAGCACCTAAAACTTTTGCTAGGAACAAAATTTTTGTAAGAATTAGGTTTTTAAAAGCATCTGCAACTTTCAGTGATCTAGATTTTTTGAAAAATACTAGACTGTACTTCCAAAGTACTACAGGAATTAGTATCTTGTAGTTTTAGGACTGATCACACCTAACTTGACATCTAGAACAGCTTCCTGACAGCAACAGAAAGCTGTTCTAAGATCCCAACTTTCAATATTAAAACTCAGTAGAACTCTGCAATAAAAAAAGCCATCACAGCATCCAAATTACCACTTGATATTAAAGGGGAAAAGGGGGGGGGAGTGTTATGTATACGTATTTGTTGTTTATTTAATCCCATTTGTGTACAGTGGTTTGGGTTTAAGTGTCTCTGGAACTAAAAAAAAATCAGTTATACACAGTTGGATACACACAGTCCAGGCTAAAATGGTACTAACAACATAAAGCTTCAATTTCCACAGACTGAACAACTGTCTTTGAAATGTTTTATTCCATTATGTCCAGACTATGTAGTGCTCTGAAGAACAGGATTCCTAAGTTACAAATCCATTTTGCTGTGATGTCTGTCACTAGGGTATTTGAGCTCTTTCAGGTGATGGCTTTGTCAGCTATGAATATACTGGATTTTCCACATTCTTACAAATTCTATGCTTTAGGAGCAGAGGGGTATAAGTTAATTTCTCAAATTTATTACCCTTGTCTGGAACACAACAAAAACATTCAAACTTTAATTTTCTAAGTCCCAATCTAGACCATGAATCAAAAGAAACCCTTTTTTCAGAAGAGAGATGAAGTTGAGCTTGTACTCAGAAATTCCAAACACATGTTTTAGCTCAATGAGATTAGGATTTACATATCTTGAAATCACAGAGCAAGTCCATATGGGAAAAATCATGAGCTATGTGCTGGATGCTTCTCATATATGCTACATGAAATTCAGGGAATGGTACAAATAAAGGGAAAAATAAGTTACAGTCACTTTGTCTTTACTACACAACTGCTCCTCTGTGTATCTACACATGTGCTGCCTAGGACTTCCAGGTGGCCTGATATTAAAAAGTGTTCCCAATATTATTTCCTTTATTAACTGCATTTTATTTGCTGAATGTGCAGCATCCTTCCTCTTCCACACTATTGATTAAGTATCTGGAAAAATAAGCATAGTGAAGTAAAAAAAACAAAACAACAACAACAACAACAAAAAAAAAGACAATAAACTGGAATTAATATAAAAAAGAAATTGACAGAAACCGGAGACATTCTAATCATTCAGCTGTGCTCTGAGGACATGTGGTGAGAATCTGTAGTTGCCAGGAAAATAATTTGATAAAGAAAAATACATAAACTTGAAAGAACTGAATGACAGCTGCTACTAGCCACACTGAAATGGTTGTCCCTGTGACATAATCACATAAAATAGGATTTTTTCTCATTAGCTTCCCTGATTTACAGTTAACATTCTTTTCACAATCCTCTCAAACAGAACCAGTACAAAGACATATTACAAAACTGTCCTTATGCCATTTCAACCTCAAATGCAAAGAAAAAATGAAATCATTTCAGAAAAAAAAAATTATTATATTTGTAGGTGCTTCTAGTCCAGTAGAACTTGAACACTTCACAGTGCTAATAGCACTTTTGCCTCCTCTTCCTCACAGCATATTTGAAGTGCTGTGAATCTGAACAAAACTTTCTCCAGCACATATTTGTCTCCTGCAGCACACGTGGAGACATCTGGAACACATTATTGCACTTGTAAAGTAGACTGCACACATTTTATTCACAAACAATTTTTCTTACTCTGCAGAGAGCTTACGTTTTCCGTTTTTCCTGTTTGACTTCTCCAAATATTTCTGGAGGAATCAAATGTATAAACAGACACGTAACAAAAAGTCTTGAGTTTCTCTAGAGGTCTGAAGGAGACATTGCATCTGGCAGGTCTATCAAGTGTTTGGGAAAGCCAGCCTTGAGGCTGAAAGCTGTGGTTTTGTTCTTTCTAGTAACCAGATCTTTGCAATCGTGTAACTTTTTTATGAATACACTTGTGTTGAGCATACAATATGATGAACAGCTATGGCTTCTCAGATTTTGTCATGTAGCAGCCACTGCTGGCTATTCATTTGTTTAATCTCTTGGCATCATATTAATACATATCTGATTGCAAAAGAACACCATGGTATTAAGTAACTTGAAATATTTAGCTGGAGGAACTTTTTAAGTCTCAGGCTATCACAAAGACAATCTGACAGCACCAGGAGCACAACCACAAAATAAGTTTTAGAATCACAGGCATTTTGATCAGAGAGGAGAAGCTTGAGATTTTTTTTCAAGGTGTAGAGAATCACTGCTGGAAACTAAGTGGAAAACATATTCTGCTATATTGACTCTTACCAGATCACTCAGGTGGCTCCGAGTACAGATTCAGATCCCATAAGTCTCTCTGGCATGACCAGAGTCAAAAGCACTGCAGATTATTAACAATGTGATCTAGATACAGTTGGCTTAATTATATATATGTTGTGATTCCTACTCACCAGGAAAAGGTAAATTCACCCTGGGGTGAAGGGTGGTGGTGGTTTTGTTTTTCTTTTTTTGTCTTTTTCATTGTTGATAAGACTAGCAAGTGCAGAGTACATTTAAGTAAGACATTCTGAAACACTAGTCATGCATCTCACAGCACATAATGAGATACTAGTTTGAAAAGTAATGTAAAACTGCAGTTTCACTGTGATTTTACTTTACAGAAATGGACTTATCTGTACTCAGAATTAGGGGTTAGGTAGCTGTAAAATTGCAGCATGTTAGATCCTCCATGGTAAGCTTACACTGACCAACCTGCAACCACTGTTAGAGCAGATTAACAGCATTCCTCAGGTAAACTGATATAGCTACCACACTGCAAATTCATAACTAGTAGCCACTGCTACCTTCAAGGAGAATTTTATACAATAGTGAGCAAGAACATAAACTTGTATCTACATGAAGTCTAATACCTTCCACATATCTTTACTGTTTGTGAGTACTTTGCGTTATTCTAAAGGAGATTTATCCATCACAAAAAGTTATTAATCCACTTCCAAACAATTTACTTAAGAAACAACAGCAAAATACTAAATGCTGTGCTCTATCTGCATGGAACAAAGAGAAATGAAGGAACAAGCATCATAACCTGTCAGAACTGAAAGCTCTGACAAGTATTTTGAAGGCAAGACTAAGAACACTTGCTGTCTCCCTTGAGCTCAAATCTCCTGCTTCAGCAGATCATATACTTTTTCTGATACATTTCTCAAGTTGTAAAAAACCTGCACCTCTCTCTGGTAATTCTTAGTGTTCTGCAAATAGAGGGGGGAAATCTACGATGAACAAAACCAAAGGCACAACTTGTAGTTACTTTTTTCAGGGTAGAATTCTCTTAAAATAATTTGCTCAGCTTTTTAAACAATCATAAGCTTTGAAGTTTTGTTTTACAGGTTATTGTGTCTTTTCCACCAATAAGTCCTACTATCCCAGCACATAGTCGAATTTCTCCTTGGAAATTGAATTATCTGATGCGATAAACCATGGTAACCTTCAGTGCTACATTTTAAACTTTCATCCTACACTTCCATTTTCTGGTCTTCATTTAAAATCCCAATTTGCAGATTTACAAATCTATCTCCAATGTGAAACAAATAAATATAAGCCCTTCCCGCAATTTTATCAGTCCTTCCATGACTTGATTGCCGGAGAAAGTTCAAAGAGCAGAAACTTTACAAGAAACGCTGGTGTTATCGTAGCATTGGGAGCTTTGCCACCAGCGTTTAAAGACATTTAACTTCTGGGCCGTTATCTGATTTCCGACAGAAATCCCTCCGGTGTCCCAAGTCCCTCCTCTGCCGCGCACAGCTGTGTCTCCGCGCTCCAAGGGTGTGGAGCTGACGGAGGAACCGCCGCTCAGACCTCAAAGCCAGCAGGAAACCCGGGATCTTGCACAACCCCCGGTGCCTGCCGCTCCCCAGGCAGCCGCCCCCAGCCCCCGCCCAGGCGCCGCTCCCGAGCAGAGCCGCGGGCAGCGCCGGGGCTGCAGAGCCACATCCCGGCGGCACCGCTCGCACCGCCGCCCCCGCCCCGCTCCGCACGATGCCGGTGGGTGAGGGAAAGGGAGAGGGAGGCGGCAGCGCAGGCGGGTCTTGCGCGACCGCCGCCTGATGGGACTTCTCCTTTCAGAGCTTCCTGAAGTGGCTGCTGGTGACCGTGGGGGTCGCCGTGGCGGTCGTGGCGATCACCGTGCCCCTGGTGATTCTCACCGGCAGTGAGTGCGCGGCGGGGCCGGGAGGGGCGGGGTGGGGAGGGCGGCGGGGGCCCCCTGCGGCCCCCGGGGCTCGGAGGGGATCCACGGCCGCGCCGCCCACGGCAGCGGGGGGGAAGTTTGACGGAAAAGTTTGTGCTTTAGGGAGTGGGGTCCGTACAGCCGGAACTCCTGAGTCCGGGAAACTGGGACGCCCAAGAGGGCGTCTCACCTGGGAAGTTGGTGGGCGCGGGGAGAGTTAAAAAGATCCTTGATTTTCCCATGTGCTCTGGTAATAGTTATAACCATTATCGTTTTCAGGATTTTCTATTCCTATTGTGGCCAGAGGTTGTCGAACCAGCCGTAAAATGCCAATTACTCTTTTTTCTAGGGTGTATTGAAGAGATAAGATTATAGTCCCTCTTTTTTGCTGTGTTTGCACAACTTTTGTTAATGCCATTGAGTGAAATTACATAAATAGCACAGTTACAGAGGTCAGAAAAGTAGAAGATTTGGAATGCAGTTCTGGACTCTGATCGGTTTGTACTTTTCAAGTTGCCCATGTGGCTCTGGATGTTAATATGAAACAGCATTAAATCCTCATTAAGCAATGCCTTGCTTCCAGCTGATAGGACAGAGCTGCACCTTATTCTCATTTGGTGTTCTTACGATTCACAGCTGAGCAGCTGTGATAAGTAGAATCAGTACTGCAAACTCTAAGGAAGTGTTTTCTAGACTAGACGTTTGGTGGTCCACTGCCCATGAGGTGCACCCCAAGATGTGTGAAGATGCACGTGCTGATCTTGACAGTGTATTCAGAAATGAACACAGCAATTTCATATGTGCACAGAAAGTTCTGGTAGGTTTATTGAATGTCATTTGAAGAGGTGAAGCGTGTGTCACTAGTGCTTATATTGCATAATTTACATTAAACTGTTTTGCAGTTCAGCTCTATCAATATTCCAGTCATTAAAAACTGTATTTTCAAAGTCCAGATATCTGAATTACATACCTTCTGTGCTAAAATTTTCATCAGCCGATGCTTACTTCCTTTTCTGTTATTTTTGGGCAGATTTTTGCCACCTCTCAAAAAGCAAGTTTTTAAGATTACAGAAAATGCTCTGAATTTCACAAGTTGGGAAGAGCAAGAGAAAGGGTTCTGATAACTTATCAGATGGATATGTGCAGGCATAACACCTTGTGAAAGAATTCAGTACGCAGGCCTGAACTCTGCTGAAGAAATGGTGCTTGTCTATCTTGATGCCAATTCTGTGTCTTACTGCGAGTCAGATGGGTTTTCTTCCTTCTAGCATAGGAATTCTTTTGCTGTAGAAGTGGCTGCAATTCAGGACCAGTCACTCAGTTATATAGTAAATTCATTTTACTTGAAGGAAACACTTCTGTTATATGATATACAGAATACCACCATGCTGTCAGCCTTGGCTTGCATCGTTTTGATTGTAGGAAAACGAGACAGTCTTTTTACTGTTGGCTCAAATTAAGGTATAGGAAACTACCTAGCATGCCCCAGTAGTTCACTAACTCTCTCTGGATAAAATATGGATTGAGATGGAATGGTTCCAGTTCAAAAACTTGAATTCCTGTCTCTTCCCAAATCAGGCCAGCAATAGCATCTGAATAACAACTTTGACCATTGTAATTCAGAAATAGCAGAGTACTTTTGACTGTGCTAAACAGATGTTTTCTGTTAGCTGAGAGTGTATAGTTGGTGTTCTTATGAAGTAGTAATTTATAGGTTAGAGCACTTAATAACTGACAGTTTGATATTATCTGGTTTTTATGAACAACCACAGGGCATGTAAGTCAGCTGAGGATGCCTCCTGGGCCATACGGGTACTCACCTGGGTACGAAAATGAAAATGGCGAAATTGCATTTGGGAGGAGCAGTTCACATGACTGTGACTATGTGGGATCAAAGTCTGCTCTGATAGAAGTCCTTGTAATTGCAATTAAGTCTTTATTTCATCCCAATTGTTCAAGCATTGTGCAGGGAGTGAAAATGATGATTATTGATGCAAGCAGATAATTTTGAGTTTGGCTTTCTTGCATTTGGTGTGCAACTGTTCTCCCTTCCATGCTTCTCACTGTAGTTCCATTTCATAAGCTTAGTAGTCATGCAGCACATAATTAGTTTGATAAATGGGCTCCAGTGCTGTGAAAGGTTGTGCAATTTTGCCACTCCAGAGGAGTTCTGGCTTGTTGCCTGGCCTGTAGGCCTGGCAAGTGGAATTTCTGTTTCTTCTCTTGCCGCTGTTTAGCATAGAGAAATACTTCAGACTTAAATTCCCCAAAAGTTTCCCTAATTTTGGGTGCAGCCCTTCATTATTTACCTTGAGGGTCTTCCCAGCCAGAACTCTTTACACTCTATTTCCACTGCCTATTTTGACACCTTATTTTATATTTAATAACCACATGGGACTACTTGCATCAAACAGTTTAATCTCAAAACAGCCTTGGGGGTTGTATTTGAAGTCTGTTGACTAAAGCATTGTTATGCTTTGAGGAGCTATCCAACCGGTGACTACGGTAACAAGTATATATAAACATACTTTAAAGTATAAGTTTTTTTCTAAAAAAATGGTGGTCTGTCCATGATTCACTTACCTATTTACTTTACTTACTTTCCATGCAAAAGGCAGATTGAAACACCCCTAGTCCATATACCCATTATCTCTTCTGTTACCACAGTTCTTGTTCTTCTGAGCAGCTGGGCAGCAAGTCCAGGAGTGGGAGAATGAGTAGCAAATGCTGAGAGCAGGAAGGAGACTTTGCAGTATCATTCTGCTGCCATGAGAAGTCATAACTGGCCTTAGAGTGAGAGGTCCTGTACAGCTCGTACAGCTTTCTTCACCCACAGGTCTAATTCTCTAAGGGTGAGATATTCACTAAATGAGAAGGTCAGCACTGCCATGATTAGGTGATACTGTTTGTGCCTCTCTGGCCTTCCAATAGAAATGTGCCTAGAAGAGGCTGGAAAGTGCAGCAGGGGCTGGGGCAGTTAATGACCTTAGGGTGTCTGAGGGTTCTTCTTGAGTCTGAAAAGGTAGGGAATAGAAATATTTTCCTGCTGTACATCCTTGACTTCTGTAACTGTCATTTAACTCACTTATCTACCCTTATTCAAGTGTTGAGTAATAACATACTAAAAAAAATTATCAGCAGTAGATTGATATCTGCAGAATGCTTCTGTTGTTTTTATTTCCTTGCTTTGAATAAGGTGAAGTTACTTTGAGAGGGATTCCAGAGCTATTGATTGCAAAGTTAATGATTACATCCCCCTGGGATAGTCTCTGCAGCCCCACAGAATGGCTCTTGGATGAAATGCCTCAGGCACTCACTCATTGGTTATGGTCTCTCTTGGATGTCCTGTATCAGCTCCTGGGTGGAATTCTGAATGAAGTGAACCTTTGGCCTGACACAGCGAAGTAGTTTTTACATACTTTTTTTTCTGTCAATGTACTTCAGTGCTCTGATCGTCACATGTCTTGGTCACTAACTATGGGCTTGAGTGTACACGAGAGGGAGGAGTTAGAGTACTATTTTACATATTTTGGAATAGGAAGGTTTGGAAAAACTAGCCTGAAGTGTCTTTTACTTTTCTGACCACTGAATCAGTTGGGTTTCCCTTGCATCTTTTCCACTGCTTCTAAGTTACATTCTTAGACAGCAGATTATTCTCACTCTTGTTCTATTGTCACCTTTTCTGATTTTTAGCATTTCTCTATCCCTTTCTCATTATTGCTGAACATCATGCTTGTACTTGTCTTTCTCTTTTTGTGTTTTTCCCAGTCTCTCTCTTGGTAGTGGTGAACATGCAGTAAAGCTTCCATTATTAATGCTTTTTATAGTTTTCCGTCACTTTAAAGTCAGTTACATAATTTCTTACTTTTTTTCATTACTATTATTACATATAGAAATTATTAAAATGCACCTTAACACCTGGGAATAAACAGTACATATACCAAAAGTAATTTGTCAACATCTTTAGGTTTTGGTATGGTGATTGTCATACCATAACCCTTACACAATAGTTAACTCCTTGTTTACTTTTATACGTGTCCTGATTTTGGCTGGGAATCCTAGTAGCTGGTACAGAGCTCTATTATGGATTCAGTGTGAGAATAACGTTGATAACACGCTGATGTTTTGTTTGTTGCTAAGTGGTGCTTAGTTTAAGTTGTGGACTTTTCAGTTTCCCAGACTTTTGCCAGTGAGCAAGTGCACAAGGAGCTAGGAGGGAACCATGGCCAGGAGAGCTGACCCAATCTGGCCAAAGGGATATTTCACGGCATGGAATGTCATGGTCATATAAATGGGGGGGAGTTGGCTGTAAGATGTTGATCACTGCCCAGGGGCAGGCCCTGGACATTGGTTAGTGGGTAGTGAGCAATTGTATTGTGCATCACTTGTCTTTCTTGGGTTCTTTCTCTTCCCCTCTCTCTCCTTTTCGTTACAAATATTATTACTGTTATTAGGAGTATTATATTTAACTTTAGTTCAATCATTAAACTGTTCTTATCTCAACCTATGGGTTTTATCTTTTTCTGATTCTCCTTCCTATCTCCACTGAGGGTGGAGAGGGGAGAGAGGAAGGAAGCGAGTGGCTGAGTGGTACTTATTTGCCAGCTGTGGTTAAACAATGTCAATACTTTACACCTGCAGAAAGGGTCACATACTAATAAAAAATCACAAAATGGAAACAAAATTGTTTAACTTCATATGAATACTACTTACATAAAAGCTTAAGAGCCTTCTTCCCAGGAGGACTTAGTTATGTTTTTGCTGTTGTAATGGAGGTATTATGATGTTATTATTTGCAATACATCACTATGGCAGTGGAAATACGTATGTACTGCCAGGAATCAGAATAGCATAGAGATGAATCATAGCATCATTAAGATTGGAAAAGACCTCCAAGATCATCAAGTCCAACCTTTGACCGAACACCACTTTATCAACTAAACCATAGCGCATCCAGTCATTTCTTGAACACTTGCAGGGATAGTGACTCCACCACTTCCCTGGGCCTTTTCCTGTGCTTAACCACCCTTTCAGTGAAGAAATTCTTCCTGATGTCCAACCTGAACCTCCCCTGGTGCAGCTTGAGGCCGTTTCCTTCTGCGTTGCCTGGGAGAAGAGGCTCACCCCCACCTGGCTACAACCTCCTTTCAGATAGTTGTGGAGAGGAATTAAATCACCCATGAGCCTCCTTTTCTCCAGGCTAAACAATCCCAGCTCCCTCAGCCACTCCTCACAGGACATGTGCTCCACACCCTTCACCAGCTTCATTGGCCTACTCTGGTCACACTCCAGCACCTCCATGTCTGTCTTGAATTGAGGGGCCCAGAACTGGACACAGGATTTGAGGTGTGGCCTCACCAGTGCCAAGTACAGGGGGACAGTCACTTCCTAGTCCCTCTCGCCACACTATTTCTGATACAAGCCAGGATGTCAGTGGCTGTCTTTTACTGCTGGGCAGCTTTCCAGCCAATCTTCCCCCAGCTTGTAGCGCTGCATGGGGTTGCTGTGACCAAGGTTGCAGGACCCAGCCCTTACTAAACCTGAGACAACTGGCCTTGCCCCATTGATCCAGCCTCTCCAGACTCCTTTGCAGAACCTTCCTACCCTCCAGCAGACCAACATTCTTGCTCAACTTGGTGTTGTCTGTGAACTTACTGCGAGTGCACTCGATCACCTTGTCCAAATTGTCAATAAAGATATAAAACAGAACTAGCCCCAGTACTGAGCATTGGAAGCTAGTCATTTGGAATTTGGAAAAATAAGTCTGGATCCGAAATAGTCAAAAAACAAAAATAGCAAGAACATGTAGTCCTCACAGCCTCTCTGAGGAACCCAAGAGTGAAAGAAGCAGTTTTGCTAAAGTATGAACATACATTGATCTGTATCCAATCTTCAAAGCCAATAAAATGCTCTTGAATGTCAACAATTACTTTATTTTGTCCAAAAAGCCCCTGTTTGGCACTTCTTTTCAAACGGAACCTGAACCTGAATAAGAAGAACCAAAATGCAGAATTTCTTTTTTCTTTGGTTGGTGGCATAATGTAGATAAGTAAGAATATAATGGTAATGTCCTATATTGTAAATTAAAAAATACTTCAGCTAGAACTTCTACTGCTACACCCTTACAGCTTGGCGTACATTTTCATATTCAGATACTACGTGGAAGGTGTTGACAGAAAATGAAATTTTAATTTTATACACAGCCAACAAATCTTAATAGTGGCCTGATTTTTTTAGTAATGAGACCTTAGCAAAATATGTATGTCACCAGGGGGAAAAACATTCATCAGTTTGGAAAAATCCCTAAACCTGTTCATCAGCCACCTGTCTTAAATTGCTTCTTCTTTTCCAAGAAAGAATTTTGTTGCTTTCCGAAGCCGCTCTGATTGAAAATGACACTTTCTCAATTAGGAAGGAGAGAAGTCATATTCCCAACTAGACAACTGTGTGTGAATATCAAATGCACACTTGTTCGTAATCCATCAAATTATATATTCAGTTAATATCAAATAATTAACCTGAGAAATTAATATTCTTAGAGACACTTCAAGAGCAATAAATCTAGCCTACTTTTTTAGAACAGTCAAATTTCAAATGGTATTGAGCAAGAATTTTTTTTTAACCTTTTCTGGGCATTTTAAACTAAAATCACTGTTATGTCTCTTGACTTTTATTGCAGCATTGGTTGTACAGTCTGTGCTGTATATATACAATTTGCTTATTGTTTGGAAATAAGAGTAAAGCTGTAACAGCTAATATAAATATCTTCCTGCTGTGTTCCAGCCGACACACGTATTTAACTTGCAGAAAGATACCCTGCAAAAATTATTGTGTTTTTCTGTGCATGTCCCCAAGGACTTTGCACCCTTTTTCTTCTTCACTATAATGAAAGAAGAGGCAGTTCTTAGGGACATGTTAAGTATCTTGGTTGATCAGTCACTACATCTGCAGTTGAGTGTTTTCATCAGTTGCTTTTATTCTAGTCTTTTGGTTGAAATAAAAATTGCTTCCCGTCTGGAATGTGTAGGTTTGTACGAGGGAGGTTTTAGGTTTCCATTAAAAAAAAAAAAAAAAAAAAAAAAAAAAAGGAGGTAGAGAGGAAGCAGGGAGAGAATTGCACACCTGAATTTAAAAACTGTAGTCTTTGTTTTCACAGGAAAAAGATCACAAAAATTCACAGACCGAAGTTGTTGTTGTTATTATTGCTATTATTTTTCACATTTTGGAAAGAGCAGCATGTGCATTGCAGCCAATAAGAAATATTTCTCTTAGAGGTTGACTGCAGTGGGCTGAAGCTGATGACCAAACTCATTAGCTTAACAATGTTCAGAGTTTCACTTGGTCTTCTCACAGTAACCCAGTTACTCGACTTTAATTTTCCAGTCAAAATTGTAACATTGCAATAAATATTGGGATACCTTGATGAAAAACACATCAAGAGAGGAATAAATGTTTAACTAGTTATTTCATCATAGGCTTATCAGGAAGTGCTTGTGATTTAATTTTTTTTTTTTTTAATTAGACCTTCCCTGAAAATTTTACTGCTTCTCAGATTTATTTTTTTTATTTGAGACATTTCTGAAATTTGAGTTTAATCATAAGCAGATGATTCACAACCGAAGGGTTCAGAAACAGCAATATTACAGAATATGTGATCAAGTACAGCAGCCACTTTCTTTTTAGGGTATCTCTCAAGGTCTGTACATTTACTCACAGGGATGTCACACTTCAGTCATATGGACAGCCTTACCTGTCCACCACTCTCAAACATGAGCATCTGCATCTCTGTTTTGCATGATCCACCCCAGAGTTGATGTCTGACGTAAGTATTAGCAGTTGGGGCTCTGCAGGAAACTTCCCAGAGTGAGCATGGGGAGAAAGGCACTAAGATCGCTTCTTTTCCGTTTTTGAAAGTGCAAGTATGTGTTTGCTGAAATAAGATGGCTAGAGGTCTTTCATTCATTTTTGTCACTGTCAAAAAAGTATTTTTATTTCCATGAGTTTGTTGAGTGATTTTACTGACGCTTTGATGCTTGCTGAATTTATCATGCAGTAAAGTTTTATTGCCTTCCCACTGGTAGTACCTTAGAGGTGTTTAGCTTAAACATTTTAATAACCAGCAACAAAAACCCACTTGGTAGTCAGGTTAAGAAGCTGGGGTGGAACAATTTGCAGCAACATCAAAATCTCTCTTCTGTCTTTTTTTCAGAAAGTCCCTCGAAGTCTGATTCACGAAAAACGTACACTCTACAGAATTACTTGAACAATGACTATTCGTACAAACCCCATAATTTGCAGTGGATTTCAGGTAATTAATTTATCCATAGAGTTTAAATGTGAAGAAGATGTACTGCCTTCAGTAAACACATCTCTTCATGCTTAGATGACCACTGTATCCAGAAAAAAAAGTCAAATTATTTAATAGTACCATTATAGAAGAGTGTGTAGCTCAGAGAGTTGATTTTTTTCTCCCCTTAGGTACATGCTCACATTCATGGCAAGTTATATTCTCCTACTGCTGAAAGTGCATACTTTTGTGTTTTTTGGTAGAAGCACGTTATCCTCTGAAGTGTGTCAGCTTCCTCTGCATCAGGTTGCCAGGGAACAGGCCACTTTTCCTTTTGAATATGCCTAGTGCCCCAAGGGAAAGAGATGCTAGAAGGTGGATGCTGTGAGGACTACATTTTATGAACATTCTTGTGCTATAAGCATCCTTTCGTTACTGAACTGGGACACAACATTGATCAGATTTTTGAATTTTATTTCCTGCTAATAAAAATAAGGGGGAAAGAGAAGTAAACGATAAACATTTAACTTATTATGACCATATCTCTTGTTCTTCTAGGAAATCAGTATCTCCATGAAACAAATGGGAACATCCTGCTTATCAGTGCTGACAGTGGAACATCCTCAGTAATCTTGGCGAATACAACATTAGTATGTTGACTTACATGTAATATATGCAGACATTGGGAAAGGTATTGAGTTTACTATTTTATTCTGCACATTTCTTTAGAAGCAGTGCTTAATGTGTTCTTTTTTCCCTTCCTTTGTTGACAGGATAAGTACAAGGCAAGCACAGCTATATTGTCTCCTGACCAAAAGTTTGCTCTTCTGCGGTACAACTACAGAAAGGTACAACTACACTTTACATCTGAGGATGAAACTGGGAAATAAAGGTTTGAGAACAACTGAGAGGCTGTGAGAATGTGAGGGAAATGCAGGAGGAGGGATGAATGAGATGGATATATGTAGGGAAATAGTCAAGTTGAGCAGGCAGGAGGAAGAGAAGAGACTGGTATTATCTGTGAGCTTGGCAGAAACAACATGACTGCCTGAGAAAAGCATCTGGATAGAAAATGGATGGAGAGTTATCGCAAGGAGAGCGAGGCTGGATGGTTCATCTGGGAAGACAATCTAGAAGAGTAGATAGGCATGGCTGTTTGAGGAGTTGTGTGGGTAAGGAGAAGTGATGAGTAGATATGCTGGTACATCTGCTTGTACGTGTATGCTATATATATATATATGTGGTTGTTACATTGTGGTAGTAGGATGTAAGAGCTGAGAACTGAGGTGACTGAATAGCAGCATGTGCTTACAAGAGAAGGCTTCTGCTTGGACTGGACTTGTGTGTCCTTGTTCCCTCCTGTCAGCAAGCACATGAAAAGCCTCCAGCAAAATGCCTCACACTGGCTTGGTGTTGAACTGTGCAAGAAAGGTCAACCTACGTTTATGCCAGGTGGCATGAAAACCTGGCTCTGTGTGCCAATTGAGGAGCCTGCTGGAGGCAATACAGTTTGTGCAATGAGAAACCGGTAACTTTGTGCTTCTTTCCTTTTTTTTTTCATTTTTCTAGAGAGCTGCCTTGTTTTGTTTGTAAAAAGTTCAGTGCTGACTTCTGCAGTGTACAGATACTTAAACGCTGTGTCACTGAGCTCTGTCTACATGTTCTGGCCTGGCAATCCATGAATGGCTTTCCCACTGTGCCAGGCACAGTCCATGCACTCAGTCATCGCTTTTTTCAGTTTTAGCTTCCTCGCTGGGTTACATTTTTTTTAAGCCAGTTACCTTTCATCTTTCTGAATTGTTCAGAATTATTTAACTTTTCACTGCATCTTTAGTGGCCACATACCACCTAATATTTTTCCATCCACCCTACACATCATGTCTACTCATAATTTATTGCTCTATAGTATTTTATTTGTTGCATTCATAAGAGTTAATTTTATTTTAATGCTGAAGCAAGATCTTTTAACCTTTATATAATAGTGTGATTGAAAGTTCTGTTATTATTAATCTTTATTGCAAAGAAACAGAGTAACAAAATGAATCATGCGGATGTAGACACTTGTTATGTAATAGCCATCTGGCTGTGTAGTACTAAGTTGTTGTTTTATATCTTCATACAAATATTCAAGAACCATCATAGAAGATAGCATTATCGTAACATGTCAACACTGTGGGCTAAATCAAACCTCTCCAGCCAACATGAACATGTTTAAATGTCTGTATTATCATCATCATCTTTCTCTCTCTAAGTGCCCACAGGGGGATACAGACTTCAAGAGGCAGATTTCTGAGAGAAGAGGGTTATTTCTGTGACAGTATGAATGGGAATAGGTCACCCTGTACTGGAGGAACTGCTACATACATACTGTGGGACTTGTGAGAACTACTATAAGATGCCAAGTTCAATAATACAACATGAAAAATGAGACAGAAAACAGTAAGCAAGCCAGTAAGGCACAAGGAGGAGAATTTACTCTGCATAGTGATAATAGTCTGCCATGGAGCTGCAAGGATTTCTGAAAAACTGCATCATCTCTGGTGTCTGTGTATCTGTCCTTAATCAGTCAGTGGCCTCACCTATAGGGATGACAATTCTTTAGTCTTTTCTTAAACCTTGTAGAAATCTGTTACCCTTGTATGTTCATTGTTTCCTGTCTTAAGAAAAAGCATGAGGAGAGTTCCAGAGGTAGTTCAAACTGCAAGAGATGTAAATCCAGTGAAATTTAGTTTCTTAATATTAAATAATTCTTTTACAGTTGTGGAGGCATTCCTTTACAGCTTCGTATCACATCTATAATTTCAGTAGCAGGTCAGTAATCTTTTCACATGAGATGTAGTTTTAAGATTCTTTTACAATGATATGTCATTTCACTTATTACTCTTGGCTGCATTTTGTTTCTGTTTTTTTCCAGCTCTATCTTAGATGATGGACTACTACCTAATGATACACAATATATATCCTGGTCACCTGTTGGTCACAAACTGGTTAGTAAAGATAAGTGACACTTATATGAACTGTCATTTTCATACACATGACATGGAAACTCACATTGTCTATACTCTTGAGGTTTTGGGACTTTCCTACTGCTAGAAAAGTAGCTGAACTTGTTTCAGAATTGACTACTGTTACTGGAAAGACTCCAAAATCCCTCTGTGTGTTTTGTTTTGTTCTTTAATGAAAATGCATTCCTGAGAGCAAGTAGTGGCCCCAGTAGTCATGTAATGCACAAATGCACAGGAACTTCATGTTATTACAGTTGCAGACAGGAGCTCATCCCTTTCAAAGGCAGCAGCATTATGAATGTCTGCTTAATCATCACTGTGATTTTTATCTCCTAATTATACAATAATCAATGAAGTTTTACTTGATGAACGCATGTAATGGGATTAGAGGATCAAAACCTTCTTGTACTCTTTCCCACTGTCCTTTTATTTCTCCCCCCCCAAGTCCTCAATGGTGAAAACCACACTGCATTTGCAAGGCTTGTGTATTCCCTATGGTGAGCATTGGATCTGACTGTCCCAGGAGAATGTGGGGCTTATTTATTCTCATTGCTTGTACTATATGAATTATAGAGACCAACCACAGGAGCACAGGAAGTTGAAAAGAGCTTTCTGCATCTTGGAGCAAAGCTCTGGAATAAAACTGTGTTGTTCAGTTATCAGAGAGAAAAACCAGGGGTGATTAGAGAGGCGACCAGGTGTCAAAAACTAGAGGAGTTTTATGTGCTACTGCAGAAATGTACTGTCTTTGCAGATCTATTGGTAATGCTGAGACCCCAGTCAATGTTTTGCCAAAGCACTGATAGTTTTGTTTGAAAGACAAATTAGTGAAAAACAACTCCTGGCAAAGGAAAATAAGCTTGTGTCTTGGCAGAAAATGAATAGCAAGGTTTTCAAAACTTGTTACGGTAGTCATGTCACTTACCATAGCTGACTTGTTTTTTGCAAAAAAACAAGGTTAAGTTGCTACACCTGATTTCTATTAGTAATTTCAAGTTTGTTAAGTATCAATTAAAAATGGTTTTTGTCATCTGGTGTGAATTTCCCAGTAGATGAAATAAAGCAAGGAAGCAGGATTTATCATAATAGTAATTGTCATCATGATGATGTTTTGCAGGCATATGTTTGGAAAAATAATGTTTATGTAAAAGCTTCACCAACAGCAGAATCTAAGGAAATCACTCAAAATGGAGAAGAAAATAAAATTTTCAATGGAATACCAGATTGGGTCTATGAAGGTAATTATGTCAAGCAAGTCTTACTTTATATTATCATATAAACCTTTGGTTTATTGTAGTTATTATTATTATTATCTCATTTCTTGCCATTGAAAAGTTCAAAATAATCAAAATCTCTGTTTTAAAAGAAGCATGCATCCTTACCTGAGCTTAATACCTGTCTAGTGTGAGGATCAAAGAATGGAAATGAGTTTGCCTAACTTGCAGTGCATCACTGGAAATTTTAGTGTGTGAATTAACTTCATATGGTAGTTTATAAATATTGGTCTAACGTGTAATTTCAGAAGCCCAACAAACAGTCTACAGTTTGGTATCTGAATTTCAATTTAAAAAAGAAAAATCCTATTAAAAACTTAAGAGAACAGCACCTAGGATAGAGGAGCCAACATCAATTATAACTTAAATGCATTTCCATCTCTTTCAGAGGAAATGTTTAGCACCAATTCTGCTCTTTGGTGGTCTCCAAATGGCAATTTTCTGGCATATGCTGTCTTTAATGATACAGAAGTTCCTGTTATAGAGTATTCCTTTTATTCTGAGGACACCTTGCAGTATCCAAAGACCATTAAAATCCCATATCCCAAGGTCGGTGTTATTTAATAAATATGTTTGTTCTACAGTTTCATTAAGAGAGTAGTCTCATTTAATCAGTTCCTGCTAATGAAAATATTGTCTGTCTCTCCTCAACAGCTTGCTGTGATTACTCTTTCTGAAGTCAACAGCATCTGGCAATGTTAAAGTATTTTATTATCTCCAGGGTAAAGAAAAAGGGAAAAAAAAAAAAAAAGGAATGATTTAAGATTTTGTTGTTTCACCATAAAATTTGGAGGAATTGAGTAGATGTTGGGAAGAAAAAGCTTTCAGGGAGTTGAAGTTGGTACAAAGCATTTAGCTGATGTACATTATGTTAAGAGTTGTGCATGGTATTGATAATGAAATCTTCTTCAACTAAGGTAGCATTTTCAGTTGTTGGATGCTTCCTGTATAGAGAGGAAGAGGAGGAATCTGCTGAAGGCATTTCTTTGCCCGCACCTAAAGGTCTTCCAGTTTTAGCTGTGAGAATGAAGACTTTAGTGTAAGCAGCTCCTTCTCCTCCCTCCCCTCCTCTCCACATGACTTTATGCTCTTGCACAGTTGGCACTGGACTGAATGGGGTGAGAGTTAGAATGCAAAGTGCTCTAACAGTTTCTTTCATCCACTCCAGGCATGAAGGGTTTCATGTTTAATACAAGACTTACCTGTGTGAAGTTATTTGGCATATTCAGGATTTGGATTTATCAGAGCAATGCATTCAAGACACAAAACAAGTACAAGTTACACTTAGAGAACAGCAGTTGCACTACACTGCTGAGTCTCAGTACAAATATGTTCTCATAGCTGGTCTCCATAATATGCTCACCATCACAGTGCTGGGCATCCCTGTTGCTGGGAAGGAATAGATGGGTTGAAACTATCTCAAAACCATCACTTTCTTTAGTTCTTTCTGTTCATCACTGGGGTTTTATACTCAGTGTTGGCTTAAGGCACCAGTATATACCCCTTTCTTCCTCCCCCCCCAATCCACGATGGTCTGGCCATCTCGGGAAGATGTTTCCACACTCGATTAACTAGGGCAGAACAGCTGATACAGCTGGCTGATCACTCAGCTGTTATGGCTGTTTGTCTGGCGAAGAAGCTGCCCTCTCCATGCCAAGCACAGCTTCCTCTGCAGCAGCCACGGTCGAGTCACTGCAGAGGTTTTGGAGCACATGGCCTTTGTCTGTCCCCTTGCAGCCTTTTCCAGAGGGATCACTGACACTCCCAATGAGTGGCTGGGCTCACTGACAGCTGCAGGTGCTTTGTCCTGAGCATGGTGCATAAGAAGAGACGTAGATGTAGAATGAACTGCCAATTTAAATTACACATTTTATTACAAACCCATTTTGTGTGGAATATTGCTGACTTGTGGAGGTGGATCAAGTACAGCCACCTAACTGTTACAATGAGGACTTGGCTAGTTAACTTCTAGAGAAGCAGCCCTTACTGACAGAGTTATGTTTCTCCCAGTGGTGCTACATTAAAAATAGTGGAGTACGTGCTGCAGTCACAGATTTTATTGTGATATAGGTAGCTGTGATGTGCCTTGTTAATGTAAGGTGCTTCTTCCATGGAGAAGCACTTCACTGTGTGTTAGCAATGGATTTGACTCACTGTTAGGCACTGTGTATGGCATGAGGGGTGAGATATGATCAAATATTGCTTTGGGTACAGCAAGCCCAGTGTAGTTATGAATGTTTCTAAATGCAGTAGTCTTTTTTATCTGGAAACACATAAGTAACATTTTTGTATAAAGAAATAAAAAGGATAATTTATGCATCAGTCTTAAAAACTACATTTAGGAACTTATCTTTTCACACATTTGAAGTCAGCTGGTTTTACCTTTCTTTCTGTAGTAGCTTCCTATAATTTGAAACACTTAATTCACCAAGAATATTCTCTCCTCAAAAATGCTATTAAAAATTTTATTTTTAGGCAGGAACTACAAATCCAATTGTGCGATTCTATATTGTGGATACCAGGTCATTACCAAATCCCATCCCTGTTGAAATTCCTCCACCTACAGAAATAAAATCAGGGTAAGAAATTTTGATTAAATATTTGATTAGGATTTTTTTTTGGTGGGAGAGGAGGAGCTTTTATATGTGACCTCCCTATATTCAGTGTATGTGGCAGTTTTTCCCTGTCATGCAGCTCTGGTAGCAACAAGATTTACCAGAGAAAATCTGCACAGAGATTATCCTCCTAGTGATTATATATAGATGGCATATTCCATGTATGTTATATTCAGAATGTGACAAGTTCTTGGCTCGTCACATTCAGTGGAGTCTAACTATGGTGAAGTCATTTCACAGTACAACTTTAATATGAGCAAGTTTTGGTATAATCAAATTATAATATATGTATTCCAATTCACTGGGGGGGAAAAAACCCAAAACAAAACCTTAATGGTAAGTGAAGATTTGATTTCATTGGAAGCAAACTCCTTGCTAAGGCAAGGTATCATGGTTGTCTTCAGATTTATACTTAAAATGTTTGTTTTCTTTGAAGACATGGTGAAAATCAGCACCTCTCACAGTAAATGGAAAATTGTATTTGTCAAAATGCCACTGGAAATGCACAACATGATATAAATGTATTTTATAAAGAGCAGCTACATCAATTTAAAGTGCATGCACAGAGAATTCAGGTTTTGTTTTTTCTTTTTAACAGTATTGTGGAAATTTTTTAGAGGTTTGCACTTACAAACACGATGGGTATGAAAGCACAGGTTATACTGATAAACCAGAAAAAAACAAAGGAGGTCTGTTAGCTTTGCATAAAATGTGTATTTGGTATGTGGTGGCCAAAAAGCTATAACTGGAATATCAGTGATCTCCCATTTCAGTCCTCACCACAGTCTAACTAACATCTATGTGTTAACCAAGATATGTGAATTTTTATGAATATGTTGTTCTTATCCTTTCATTACAGTAGCACTGCAGTAGCTGGATGTTACATAGCTGTCATGCGCTGTTTTTCTCCCAAATTTCAGTGCCTCAGAATTAAAAGCCCATTATGTTTAGCTTAATGCTGATTAAGGTCTCTGTTGTCTTAGAGTTATGTTTTACCTTTTGTTAACACCTTATGATAGTTGATGTGAGGACAATAACCATCAGCTACTTTACAGCCTCGTACCCATCTGGCTAACACAGGCATGATTTATGTGGAGGTAATCCATTTCAAAATTAATGTAGCACTCTGCAAATCAGGATTAATACAAAGATAAGTCTTGAAGGATGAGTGCAGTTATCAAAACTTACTCTTCCTCCCAGTGGCTGATCCAAATAATGGTCGAGTTTCACTGTACATGTCCTGCAAAAGTTGAGGTGGCCAGAATGAGTCTTTGGGAATTTTGCAAGAACAAAGATACACTAGTAGGAAAAGGCAAGCAATGTGCAGTATTGCTGTTGGGTAATTTTGCAGAATATCCCTTTCAGCAGCAAATGAGGAAGAGCAGTGCAAAACTACTGTACTCTACACATGAATTAATTGCAGCTTAGTTAACAGTTTGTAGGTTGTTGAATACTGAAGGTGCATTCCCACTCTCAATTATAACAGTAAGCTATTTATTGCATTATAATAATGGCTTGGTTATTAATTTATTTGTTGATTATTAATTCATTTTTCCTTGTAATGTCCATCTTGTCTGATGAATGATTTATGGTTGCCAGAACTGTTAATTTCTCTGCCTTTGAAGCAATGAAAACTGTGGGACTAATTCCCCTTATACAAAACAAGGGAAACCACTATTATAGGTACATGAAGAATGGCAGTTTCTTTTTTCTCTTTTTTTTTTTAACAAACAAGCTCCTGCAGGGAGCCAGTGCAATTAAGTGACCTACTGACTTCCCAGTCAAATATAAATGCAAAAATAGACCTTTTCCAAACAGGATTTTGAAACTGCAAGCTAGAAATAAATCTGAAAGTTGTTGGTAACCAGTTGGCATATATTCTTAATCAATCTACACTAATTGTGGTGTTCCCCCCCCCCCCCGCCCCAAACAGCAGTGATCATGAAGGTACTCTTATCACAAAACTTCCCACACATTTTTGTTAACTAACTTGGGGGAAAAAGGGAACATAAACTTGGAACTAAGTCAAATGTGCAAATTCCAGTTAAAAATGTATACTTGCCTTGGAGGGGAGGTTTGTTTTATTTTAATTCATAAGGCTTCTAGGAGATAGCAGAGATCTAAAATAAGAAAAGACAGTACATCTAACAGATCGTAATGGTAAACAAAACCACAAAATTTTATGTGGTGCCTTTTTAAAATTATTATACAGGAATATCCATGAAGATTTTTTTTTTTCAGATACTCCACTTTTCCATGTCAACTGGTTGGTATTCTGAAGACTAAAGTAAAATATTCAAATAGTAATAACTGGTTTTGGTATGATCTCTCCCTTCATTGTAACTAATGGAAAGAACTAGTAAATTGAACAAAAATGTGTATCATTCAGAACATGCTTACAAGCAACCAACTTCATGCAGCTAAGGATAAAATTCTGAAATCTAAGGCATATGCAACTTAATATTCAGAAAAATTTCCTCTAGATGCACAGAGTACAAGATTTATGAACAGTCTGGAGTAGCTATTATTTTATGCATTAGAGAACAGTGATCTGGCTGTTAAAATTTAATTGCAGTCTTTCCGGAAGTCGGTTTGTACAAACTATCTAATTGTTTATTTTATCTCTGAAAATAACCAAGGCATCTACTAGCAGAAAAAACAATTGACAAAAAACCGGCTCAATTAGGTTTGCATTATTGTTTGTTGCTGAAGAGTAGATTGAAATGAAAATAGCTAGATGAGTGTCATTCAGTGAATTGCTGAATGCTATCGTATGGTATGCTATTACAGAGAGGATTTTAAATATCTAATGCTGTTGCTGTTTTCAGGGACCATTATTTGAGTGCTGTAACATGGGTGACAGATGAAAGGATTTGTCTGCAGTGGCTCAGAAGAATTCAGAATTTTTCAGTCCTCACAGTCTGTGACTTTGAAAATGGTAATTGGTCATGTCCACAGGTAAGAAAAATTAGGTAGAAGAGTTCCAATGACAAATGAAACTAGGAAGAAGTAGAGTATATCTGTATGTTTATCTTTGTAGAAATAAAGTCTGATGTAAAATAATCATAATTGTAATGGGATTTTTTTTTTCTTAGGGAAAACAACATACGGAAGAAAGCACAACTGGCTGGATTGGCAGAGTGAGTGTTCAATTTCTAAAATTGCTACATTCTAAATAACTGATAATTAAGAAAAATTCATAGGAGCCTCTTGCAGTTTGCAGTGCCTCTTTTGTGCAGGTCTGATCCTCTTGCTGCGTTTTACATGTACAGGAAAAAATAGTCTCAAATGGAGATGCTGTGCCACCCCACCCCTGGGTTTAAGCTTTTGTTTTGGGGGATATGGGGTTCTGAACTCCCAGGCTGGGCTGACAGTGCAGCATGGGCTGGAGCTGTAACCGTGTCCTCTATGACCTGTGCATCATGTTGACAGGACAAGGGATAACGCCTTTAAATTGAAAGAAGTAGGTTTAAATTAGATATTAGAAAGAAATTCTTTACTGTGGGGATGGTGAGGCACTGGAAGAGGTTGTCCAGAGAAGCTGTGGATGCCCCATCCCTGGAAGTGTTCAAGGACAAGTTGGATGGGGCTCTGAGCAACCTGGTCTAGTGGAAGGTGTCCCTGCCTATGACAAGGGGGTTGGAACTAGATGAACTTTAAGGTTCCTTCCAATCCAAACTGTTCTATGAATTTATGATTATATATTCAGCTTGCCAAAAAGCATAGCACCCTTTCGAGACTCCTTTTGACTTCTGACCTGCTGCGTTGGTAGCAGTAGGTGGGGGGGGAAATGCAGGAACCAGGATTCAGAATTCCCTTTGTTCTGGGGGAGTTGCCAGCTATGCTGGTTTAGCTGCTCTCTAGTCTTCCTGCCACCTCAAGAAAGATCTACAGAATAAAATGTATAAAGAAGCGTATCCTATAACCTTGGAATCATATTGGAAGAAAGGCATAGAGGACAAAAGTAGTTTTTTAATATTTCAGGTTGCTACAAACCATTCTAGGTTCTCACTGGGGCTACTTACTTATTTCTTTCCTCCCCTCCCCGCCCCCCCCATGAAATATCCATTGAAGAGAAGTGGGGACAAGATGCATATAACTGACCAGATTAAAATTTTCATATGCTTCTGCCAAACCAGTCACTGCTGTCTGGATGATGCTTTCCAAGCTGCTTCTCAGTCCTTTCGTACATGGTAGAGAGTAGGCACCTAATGAACTACACAGAAGATCTGGGGGAAGTGAAGCAGAGATGCAAAAGTTCAGACTTGGAGGGAGAAATGAGTTTCAGAGTTTTTGATGAGAACACAGAGTACACTCCACTCCCGCATTTTCCACACACTGATTATGCTTTAGTCACTAATTCACTTTTGAAGTCAAAAATGAGAGTTTAAAGAAATGCAAAGAGGGAGGCAACAGCAGGGATGAAATCATCCGCAGTATGAAGATGAGAGATCAACCCACCTGCTGTCAAATTTGATATGGAAAGGAAGGCCTTAACGCTGACACATTTTGCTTCTCTGCAGCAAAGGCTTCACAATTAGACAATGTGATGATCAAGCTGCAGACTTTGTAAACAGTTGTGCAAAACGAGAGGGCAAAATGCAAGTCTGTGCCATCAAACTAGGTTGTTGGTTTTTTGTTTCTTTTAAAGAGACAACCCACTTCTTAGGAGCTGTTGGAAGAAAAGATAATCTCACTGTATAATTCCTGGATTTGAGAAGGGAGGGGAGAGTAGGGAGAATTGGGGAGGGGATAGGCAAGGTATTTGTATTCCTTAATTTTATTTTTACCTGTTTAGAGATGACAAAATGATACTTGACTGATAAGGAATATTTTTTATACATATGTGAGATGTGTGTATACCCATACATATGTATATACAAATTTAAGTAAATTATATATGTGTATAAAATATAGACATATAGTACTCTCTTTGTATCTGTAATGTTTTCTGGTTCCTTTTTTTTTTTTTTTTAATGGAGATGAAATTTTATTTAATCTAAGAATGCTCAGAACAGCCTCTGTAACTGTAAAAGGCTTCCAGGTCATCAGCTAACTTAGAGCTTGCCAGTTGAGTTGAAGGAAAGTCACACTTTGAAAAAGCAAGACTGTGATAAGGGAAAGGCTAGCAAAATATTCAACAGGTTCCTTTTGGCAAAAATATTGCTTGGGAAAATTGAGAGGTTATTTGAAGCACATGGGTTAGGAAGATTTAATTTCTGTCATTGCTTACTGAATGACTAAAGGCAAGTCACTTCAGCTTTCTGTTTCACTTTCCATTTCAAAATGGGTATAACATCTTAGAGGCAACTGCATTGTGTCAGTTGTGTCATTTAACTCATTAAAAATCTGATTTTAACATTTAGATCCTTTGGACACTTGTCACCGAAATATCTTTTATTTCACTCAGCTCAGTTTCATTCCTCTTTTTCTTTCTGCCATGTGTAGCCCATTCTAACGGCAGTCACTAGAAGAAATTAATTTCTATCACTCTCAGTTGATAAATGGATAGTTCCTTCATGAAAATATCATTCCAGTTTTAGTTCCATGTCATTCTATAATCACCTACTTACCAGCAAAATTTCTTCTTAGAAAGCATATTGGGTTTGGGTTTTTTTCAATAGAGCAGGACATTTTTTACTGTTAAGCTAAAAAAAAATTGAGTTCAAAGAATTTGTTCACAAACACATTTTAAAATGTAAAATTCATGCGAAACATGTATTTGCAAAGTTTACATTTTTATAGGTTACAGCTGCATTGGACAGAATAAAACAGAGACTTTGAAAGTAGATACATATATTGTTTCTTGAAATGGTAAAAAAAAATAAGAACACCTGAAGTACTTCACATTCAAGGGAGGGGATACAGATCACTTCCAGGGCCAATACTCGAGAAATTCTGCTGCTTAAGGAGCAAGATAATATTTTAAGTGTGCTTACTTTTACGATGATGGCTACAGGTTCTACCTACTAAGTCAGCAGGCAAAAATTTTTGCAGTACGTTCAGTGATGCATTGTTTAAAGTATTGACGCTCACAGTTAGAGATATCAAAACCTAAATTTATCGCTTTGGGTGTGGAGTTTTGTTTTTTGCTTTAATAGACATCTCTCTTATTTTCAAGTTTCAGCCATCTGTCCCTTACTTTGCACCCGACAATGCTACCTACTACAAAGTCCTCAGCAACGCAGTAGGTTATAAGCACATCCATTACATAAACGGCTCACAGGTGAGTAATAATGTGTAGGACAGTCAGTGCTGGCTTGTGTTTCTTGTGGTGATCATGTTCTACTTTTTACCTTGCCTTACCCCCCTTATTTCAGGCTCCAGTACCTGTTACTTCAGGGAGGTGGGAAGTAATCAGCATAGAAGCTGTAACAAAAGACTTTTTGTAAGTATTTGTAAATGAGCTACTAATTCCTGTCGTAAGGGCTAGTAACAAGGGTCTAAGCAAGCAGGGATGGAGAACAGGGAGACGGTGTCATTTAACTCATTAAAAATCTGACTTAAACATGTGAGGTAAAACCTTTAAATGTTGTAATATACTGTAAATATTTTACCAAAACCAGTTTGTTTTGCTTTTATAGATACTACATTAGTAATGAAAATGATGGAAAGCCAGGAGGAAGAAATCTCTATAAGTAAGAAATTTTTTCTGCACTATGGGTAAAACAGTTGTTAATGAAAAAAAAATAAGAAAAAGCATTGAAAACTTAAAGATTGTGAAGTTCAGTTTAAGGTGGGATCCTCTATAGGATATTTAGTGAAAATCGGTGTAAGAGTATAAACTGCAAAAATTAAATTTTTTTTTGTAAATTTGGTTAATAAAGGGAAATTATGAGAAGAAACAATCAGTCCTCAAGCAACAAAACCCCAAGGAAAACCTCTCATGCTTTTTTTACCATGATTATAATTTCAATATCATCTGAACTCAAAAGTTTAAGTCTTTTTTCTCTAATTTTTAAATCATTTAGTCACTTTTGAATTTAAACATTTCATTCAGCCATCTTATTTAAAAAGCATATATTAGTTTAGCGTAGCTTAAAAAAAAATTAATCTCTGAAATGAAGCTCAACTTTGCAGAGTGCTCTTGGAAAGCAGTCCAAGTTCTACTAAATGTGTTAGCTGTGATCTGAATCAAGAAAGATGCCAGTATTATTCTGTGTCCTTCAGCAAAGATGCACAGTATTATCAGCTAAATTGTCTTGGTGAGTATATCTGGAATTAACCAACATAAACGTGACTCACTGATTAGATGGGTGGGGAAGTTCACTTCATCAGGATCTTGATACTTACTGCCTAACAATATGCGTTGATAACAGTGGATACATTCATTGGCAGTGGAAAAACATACTGCCTCCTAGGCTCAAAAGCACCTTTACAAAAATTGCTAGGATAAGACTTGTTAGTTCTGTCTGTCGATGGACCTGAAAGAGCTGCAAAACACTCCTGTCCAGTTCCCATCTCTTCAAGAACTGCATGTGGAGCTCTGCCTGCGAGAGGAATTTGGAGACTCTGAAAGCGTGACAAGCAGGAGGCTGGGTAAAGAGCAGTGCTCCATGTGTGGGAATAAAATTAGGATAGATAATGCTGGTCAAAAATAACAAACCACCAAGTAATGTAATCAAGGTAAGCAATGCGCCTGTAGTCTGTCTCTGACCTGTAGGTGCTTGCGCTAGATAGTACAAGGGTAAAAAAAGTGAAATCTTCCCTAAATTTCCTTAAATTGAAATTTATGCTGGTTTTAAAGATGCCGAGATCTTCCTTATTTATGAGCTAGAAGGAGAGACAGCAGAGAGGGAATTGTTCTGTCAGATTGTAAAAATGGTTGAAGACTACTGCTGTGGTCTTGGTGACAAGGCTTATTGATTCCCCAGCCATGGTCCACAACCAATGCATAGGCTTTGCTAAAGAGTGGGATTTCAGTTCTGCAGTACCTCACAGTAATGTGGTTCATCACTGAGATATGAATACTTTGTGGGATCCTGTGGCTTGAATTTGGGCCCTACTCAGTTAAAATCCAGCTTGAGCAGACTGGAGGGAAATGAGTTCTGAGCTTTTATGATTCACCTGTTTCCAATTACTTTATGAGGGCTGTGTTTCAAGACAGCACACAAATATGAAGGTTTTGTGCCCAATTAACAGGTCCTGGCCTGCCCATGTCTACTCTGCACAGAAGCACTGATGATCAAGGTATGGGATTGTCTCTAAATCTAATTTGTGTTGAGGCAGAAAATTGCACTGTAAATTTATTTTAATTTTGTTCTCATTGCTTAGTACAGTAATAAAAATGTCAACTAAAGGGTAAATTTAATTTCAAATAACTACCAGAAGAATAAATTATATAGCTTGGCATACCTTTATTCATAGTTTATTTAATATTATTTTATATTGTGCTAGAAAACAGTGAGTAATGTATGACTTATTTACTGGATAATTGTTCAGTTTTTCTTCAACTGGATTTAGATGAAAAACGGGAAAAATAGCTTTCTGGTTACTAAATAACTGAAGGAAAACTATATTGTAAACATTGTAAACATTGAATCTGAGAGGAAAAACAAAAACTGCAATGTAGGTTGCTGTCATCTCAGATTGAATACTTAGTGGTTCATAATTAAAGAGCAGTGTATATGAAAATAATGTATTTAATCTTTGAATCTTACTTACTCTGTTATTTAGTCCTCAGATACTTGAAAAATAACACTGAACTGGAAAATGCATTGAAAGATATTCAGATGCCTTCAAAAAAATTTGGCTCCCTTAGTGTAGGTGGATACAGTAAGTTCAAAAACATCTTTTACCTTTCTACCCCTTTTTCACCAAGTGCTTCAAGGTCTTCTGCTGAAGAGCATGACAGAACAGATGGGTGTAGTGGGGATTGTTGCAGTTATTCAGCACTTAGAGGCAAGATGATTTTTTTTCTGAAATCCCAAAATATTCTTATCTAAAATGTGCTTTTTCCATAGTGTGATATCTTGATATTTTCGTGATGAAGTGGCTTAGCTCCTTTTTTTCCTTTATAATAAACTGAAAAACAGAAGTCTCCAGGACCTCATTAAATAAAAAAAAAAAAAAAAAAAA